AGATATAATGATTTTATAGTAGCACACAGAAAAGACAGAAACAAGTCCTCAATGGAAAATTACTTACTTACAAAGCAATATGACACCTAGCAAAATGATTGGTGTGTCTGTTTGCCCAATTCAAAAAGCATGGACATTAAAATTCTCAATTTATTTGAATACTTTGGTAAAGAGTAGAGAATCAAATATCAAAAATTTGGTTGGAAAATTAGGTGGAAAAAGTGCCCTACTCTGTTCTATTTTTTTCTTAGAACTTGTTATTTTACTTCTGATTAAATAAATAAACACTTCCTTACATAATGATAACAAATTTAAGAAACTATTGTTCACTCATAATTAATTATGAAATGAATACAAGTTACCTATATAGTAGGTCAAGTTGAAGAATTTGTGGGATTAAAAAAAAAACCCTCAAAGAAAATAAAGTGACAAAAATATGCAGTAAAACCTGCAAGTAAACAAGGGTTTATTATTTACAATAGTGTCCTTGAAAGAGTAGTTTTAAAAAATTTTTTCAAGTAATAATAGCACTAAAAAGCATAACAATTTGGAGAATGTGTCTTCTAGGAGCAACAATACAATTCCCTGAAGACTCTAAATAACTTTCTTTAGTAAACTTTTGTTTACTTGTAAAGTACTCCTTGAAATTTGATAAGATAAAATTACCTATTCTTAAGAATTCTAGTGTATTCTTTGAATAAATACAAAAAAAAGAAAATTGGAGTTTCTTAAACTGAAGGAACATTATTATGAATAAATCCTTGTAGCTGCTCATCTCTTAGATCTAAAATCTGAATTATAAGTGATAACAGTGTTGCTGCTGAACTTGACTAGGCTTCCAAAACAATTAGCATAGTTAGGTCTTCCAACAAGACAAATTATTTCAATTGAAACAGACGAGAGGTATTTGGCCCAGGCAGGCTAGGCTGCCCCCTGAATGTGGCCACCGTTTTTGCCTCACAGCCTTCAGTCCAGTTGCTTCCTCTCCTTCTGCAATATGACACCTTTCTCCAGCAATGCAAACAAAAAGGCTTTGTTTGTGGTTTGTAATACACCAAATTACTCTAACAAATTTTCGCTTTCCGGAAGTCTTGTCAAAAAAGTAAAAAATGAGTTTCAGGGCCGGCCCGGTGGCGCACTGCTACAGTGCACCGGTTGGGAGCGCGGCAGCGCTCCCGCCAAGGGTTCGGATCCCACATACAGACCAGCCGCTCACTGGCTAAGCGAGGTGCGTGCGCAACACCGAGGGTTGCAATCCCGTTGCCGGTCCCGGTCCGGTACGGGCGCGACACTGAGGGTTGCGATCTGTTGCCGGTCACGAAAAAAGACAAAAAGGAAAAAAAAAAAAAAAAGTAAAAAATGAGTTTCTTCTCTTAAAAATGAAAGATGGCTAAATGAAGGCTTATGTAGCAAGAGCCGCCATCAGTGAGTCAGGGCTGCCTAGGCTTCCTTTTGCTCCTCAGCTTCCTTTCTGAAAACAGCTTCTTTCTATATCTGACACCATCTGAAAACTCTCTAGAAAAAAAAAGGATCACTTAATTGGGGTTATCATTTAAAGTTCCTTGAGTTTTCACATTTCTGCCTGTTTTTCAATACTTGAGAAAATAAAAAAGTCTAGAATCTTTAATTTACAGCACCAGTTGGCCATATTTGTAACAAAATTAAAATGCCCAAAATATAAATTATATGCCTCAATAAGTTATACTTCAAAATGGAACATTTTGAGCAAATAATATGAATTTGAAACATGATTAATAAAAATGTATGTTGTTCCTAAAATAATTTAGAATTTATACCACTAGAAACCACTATAGTGTATGCATATATTTTGAGTTGCCCCACCCAAAACTTTAGAAAATATGTACATTAATATATAAAGATTTAGATACTAAAATGTACCTGGTCTCTGTATATGAAATTGAATATGTACATATATTAGTCTAAAAACTTAGTTAAAAATACAATGTAAAGATATTGCTGCCCTTTTAAAATATTTCTGAATCATGAAAGGGAAATAAAACCATCCCTAAGTAGTTCATATGAACCACATTTCTACCCCCTTTAAATACCGTTTAGCAGCTAGTTTCCTAATCATAGTTTTGCAGTCTTACTTGATCCAAATACAAAGCAGTTCCCACTCACTCGCTAAGTAGTGGACCAGTCTCAGAGTGCAAGTTCTGAATGTATTGTTGGACAGTCAGTCACAAACTTCTACATGGGACAAATCTTTAGAATTGCTTAAACAAGTCAAAGCTTGAATTTAAAGTCAAATTCTTGAATGCCAAGGTTCTGTTCACAAAGTCAACATGGAGAAGTAGGGGCATTTTTTGAGTAAGACAGAAGGGGGCAAGAATCTTGTAAATGCCGTAAAGTAACACAAAGAGAAGCTCTATACGTGGCCAGTCTCCAGCCCAAGGAGTAGAAAATTAGATTTCCAGAAACACTGTTTAGCAACAAAATGCAGTCACTATATTATAATGGGTGCTGAGCATGGGATTTGTGGTCAGCAGACCTTACTGAGAGGCAAAAGGCTATGACCACTGAACCCTATATCCTTGAGTAGCAAACTGACCTATTTAGCAGCTCAGATTCTTTAATTATAAATTGGGGGGATAACACTTACCCTATAGAATAATTTTTTTTAATAAAACAACATTCATAAAAGTTTGTAAAATATATAATGATGTAAGTGATGTGCCTACAACTTTCAAACTACTACACAAATTCTTAATACACTTTTTGATATTAATAAGGTAGAATTCCTTACCAAGGATGAACTCCAACTGTGGTTCATTTGGAGTCTTCTGAACACCTATAAAAAATAGGTGCAAATTTAGATTAAAAAATTTTTAAACTCATTATCAAAAATATGTCAATATATATTACTATGTTTTATTCCAGCCAAAATGTGTAAATACATTATTTGGAAGAATTGTATCCTAAGGCCCAGGCTGCCTAAATGTCCAGGTGCTTGCTGTAGCTAAAGGGTCCAAAACAGGAAGTGAACCAACCATAACCTTTTGTTCTGAGTTTCTGTCCTTGCAGGAGGTGGCAGGAAGTCATAAATCCTGAAATACTAGACTGCCCTCAAAATATATCAGCTGAAACTCAAATATGGGCTCCACAGATGAACTTTGGTGAATCTTCACCTAAGGAGGAGCCAGGATCTCCACACTTACCTGCCCTGGTTTTATGACATGGGTCAGCCATGACAGGAAGTCTCAACTCACCACCTATGGACTGTAACCTGTATTAGCTCAGGGCTCAGGGTTTAGCCCATGTGACAACTTCCTAAGGTCCCACTGTTGCCCCAAGGCCACATTCCTTCCCAGGTCCAAATGCAAATCTGGCTTCAGAAATGACCAATGAACTATGCCTCATAGTCAACCAATCTAAATTGAACAAGTTTATCCTTCATTTATGTGGGAGGACCTCAAGGGGAACTTGGGCAGGAAGTTAGGTGGGAACTTTGGCTATATAAGACTACACCTTTCCCTTGTTCTGGGAGACACTGCTTTGGAAGCTATCCCCAGTGTTTTCCCTACTTTCAAGTAATATAGACTTTCCTTCTGACCCTGGTCTTGATTGTGTTCTCTGAAGGATGAACTCTTGTAGCCTAGTGAAAGAATGAGCAAACTTGGTTAATCAGGCTACTAAACAGTAAGTTCTCAAGACAAGGAATAATATTTGTAGCAGAACTAGATGTGACTAGAGATTTTTTTAGCTCATGGCCATAAAGAAATTGAGAAATATATATATATTTTTATGAGCCATGACAAATATAAAACATATTTTTTCAGCTGCATTTCTTTCTTTTGGATGCATGTAGGCAGGGGTAGAACCTTCAAAATGAACCACCTCGCTGAAGGATGCTCTTAAATGGATTTTTCTTTCAGGCCACTCTGGCCTGCTGTAAACAGGAAATCATCAACTAAAGTGGTATCTCCAGCTGGGTTACAGAGGACATCACGGTGCTGGTCATTTTGCTAATATATTGACAAACCAACATTCTATTCAATGTTTCTATTTTTGTCAGTGATGTTTAAAAAATATAATGACATGGCTAAATGATTTAAGATGAGGTGGGAGAGAAAGTGAGCCTGAGAACAAACGTTTGGGGACATGGGGACATCTAATGGGTAGAAAGATCAGGTTGTGGTAAGTGGTAATGTGGTGGGTAGATGCCTGAAGACCACACACAGTGCAGGGGCTTCCTAGACAAAAGTGGATGAGAACTGCACATATGAATGCAATGTCATTCATTACAACTCCTGGGTGGCCAAAGAAGTAAAACTAAAATGTATGGAAAAATACACCCTTTGGCAATAAATGTAAGAATATTATAAAAATCCTGTTCATTTTTGTTGGTGCATTTATCATATACTGTTTAAATGTATTGGCATTTGACCACTAATATATTTGTAGAACCATCTCTTTGTATAAAAATCATCTGTTTTTTATTCAGTGTTAACATTTTTGTGCACAGCACCGTTTATTTTTTTTCTCCTGCTGGCATTTAACAAATGCTATAGTTAACAATTTTAGATTTTCCAAGAGTGGTTAGAGTGACAACCATTAAGTAGGTTTTTGTGAACTTCAAAATAGTATGGATTTTTTAAAAGGTTATTAAAAATTAACTCTGCTATAAGCTCTAACAACCAAATTTCTCAAAAATGCATCCAACAAATGCCATTTTCTAAAGATTATTTTTTATAATGTAAGTCAAATGAGAAGGTTAGGCATGTATTTGCCAGTGTAAAATAATTGGGCAGCAGAAAAAGAAAAGAAAAAGACAAAATCATGCTACACGATAAAAGCCAAACCTTAGAATTTTAAGCATGAGAGAAAACACACAATCCTTCCAATAATTTTAATTACTTGAGTAGCACAAAAACTAATTCTAATGTTCAAATGAAAATGCTACATGATAAAAGCCAAACCTTAGAATTTTAAGCATGAGAGAAAACACATAATCCTTCCAATAATTTTAATTACTTGAGTAGCACAAAAACTAATTCTAATGTTCAAATGAAAGTCTCGGCCAAATCTCTGGGCTTGCTCTATTTATTTGACATAGTGCTCTTTGGTATGGCAGCAATAATCTAGGCTTCTACTGTAACCACTTTTTTTTTTTCCTGATGTTTTCTATTTTATTTATTTTTTTTTCCTTTTTTTGTCTTTTTTCGTGTCCAGCAATGGATCGCAACCCTCAGTGTTGCGCCCATACCGGACCGGGACCGGCAAGGGGATCGCAACCCTCGGTGCTGCGCCCGCACCTCGCTCAGCCAGTGAGCGGGAACCGGTCTGTATGTGGGATCCGAACCCTCGGCGGGAGCGCCGCCGCACTCCCAAGCGGCGCACTGTAGCAGTGCGCCACCGGGCCAGCCCATGATGTTTTCAATGTAAATGCCTTTTGGTTTTAAAGAAAAAATTTCTATGTTACAAAAAAAAAAAAAACCCCTCCATATAAGATTACATAAATGCCAAACAGAAGATATTCTTAAAAAGTATTAGAACTTTTCTTAAAAGTATTAGAAGTATTTATTAGTGTCCTAATACACATTCTAGAACTTTGATACTACTCTTTGGTATTTAACTATTTCATGATATATCACCTATCTCACCCAAGATAAAGGAGTAGACACATATTATACATTCACAACACCAAAGTAATAGTGCAAAAAAAAAAACATTTAGGTAATCTCATGTCATTTGTCAGAACTCAGGTTTCTGTGAATGCACATATGTAGACACATATTATACATTCACAACACCAAAGTAATAGTGCAAAAGAAAAAACATTTAGGTAATCTCATGTCATTTGTCAGAACTCAGGTTTCTGTGAATGCACATATCGGTGTGTGTTTAGTCAACCCAATTTGCATCTTCAGGGAGTTACAGGGAGGGGCACATAGGTACTTACTTGTGAACTGAGAGTCCCCAGTATCATTTGCCTGGGCTGTAGAAAGAAAGTGCTGGCCTTTTTCTGATCTTCCTTCCTCTTTGATTTCCATGATCAAGTTGTTTAATCCTCCAAGTTTTCTTCTCCAAATGTCACGGCCAATGATTTTCTGGTTTAGTGTAGATGTGTCTTCACACTAAACACCTGGTATCCCACTCTGAAATTCTGCACTTAGGAAACATCAAGAGTGAAGATTTCAGTTACTCTGGAGTTCAGTAAAAATTAAAGGTAGGGAGAGACTACAATTACCTTCAAATAAACTTCCTTTTTGCCTATCCCACTCATACTTTGAGGACCAATCCACTCAGGTCATGTACCATAAACTCTGGGTTGAACAGGAATTCTCCAAGCAGTTATTATATGGTCATATGAAGAACTTCTAAATCCTAAAAAGTACATTCTTTCTGTTCGAGTTCATTCTGTAAGATAGCAGACAGCTATAGGGGTTGCTAACTTAATGTGCACCTAATTTAGCAGCAAGAGCAGATAGCATCTCATCAAGGCATTAGCATGTTTTGCCAAAGTGAATATTATCATTTCTTTCATTAGAATTAGGACATTATTCATGACACTGTTCTTCCATGATGAATCAACAGGTTGTATAGGGGAGTTTCTAACCTCATTGTTATCCACGGAATCTCTTGCTGTTCTGCCTGATAAAGGTTTAATTGTTTAATGATTGGAATATGTAGTAAAAGAATGAATAATAATTCTAGAAAGTTAAAGCTCAAGGGAAAATAAAAGCAATAGCAAATTGATGAAAATTAGCATGGGAAAGAAAAGAAATCCTCTTGAGGAATTTAATATCCTGTTATACAGATAGCCTCAAATAGTTACAAATTAATTTTGATATTTAGCATGATATACATGATGAAGAATGATTTTTTAAAAAAATCAATGTTGTTTTAAATCAAGTTACCAGCTGAATTAAAATGCATAAAAATCTTTAAATGTCTACTCGGTGCTGTTTAATGAGAGAGCAGCAATCGAGTTTGGTTTGGAATACTGATATGGTTTCAAACTTCACAAACCAACAGCCTCACTCTTTTTTGATTTTAACAAAGCAGCTTCATTTATAATTCAGCTATAGTTTTTTAAAATCATCTGGCAATAATTAAATCCAGAAAACATCTTAAATCTTTAGAAAACATTACAATAATGTTGTAGATAAATGCATATTGGCTTCTAAGGATACAACCAGGAATACTTTATGAGGTAAAGGGCTTTGCACCATCAATTAGACCAAATCCATCAATTTGAAAATTATTTTTTGAATTAAGGGAAGATAATGCTTCCTGATTTCTTTTTTTGACTATTAAATGTAGAAGTCTTTTCTGATAAGGACAGACACATATTCAAGGTACCATGTTCTCCCAAGGAGTTATGACAAATGTTAATAACGGGATAATATCTAGCCAACCACAATGGGTATAAGGACTTTGTAAACTTCACTGTATTTCTTGACCCTAATCCAAATCAGTCATCTTCTGAACTGACAAGAAGATCTAAATGAGGCAGTATGAATAAATCCTAGAAAAATAGTAACTCAGCATACTAATGGTGAATAAGCAATAAAATAAATGTGAACTCTGCATGCAGGTATGTATGTATGTGTGTAATTTGAGGGTGAGAGGAGATAATTGAATTAAGATGCCTACAAAGATTTACTAACATGGTCCTATTGTAAACATACTACCCATGCAAAACTAGTTCACTAACTGAAAATAACTTCCATTTTAAAGAGAATGGAGCTAAGTATACAAAACAAAAATTATGTGACAATCTCTGAGATTCCATTTATTTTCATCCTATCTTTGTTGCATTGAGGACAAATTTAATATTGAATACTTGTTACCAAACCACATACTTCAAAAGAAATTAGTTACAAAGCTCCAGAAAACAAATGCATTTCTATCTACCTGCTAAATATAGCATTTACCTATGGTTATAATTAGATAAATAGTTCCTTTTCTGTGTCTGTTTGGAAATTTTTTGGTTTGGTGATAATGCACAAGAATAGAATGTGGTTTTTACATACCACATTTTGCATAGATAAAAGAGACAGCTTTCAGGCCTGGTGGATACTCAGTCCAATTCTTGCTTCTTTTCTTCTGCTCAGAAGAGCTACAAGCCAAATGATTAATCATCATATTCAGAAAATACTCTTGGTTCTCTGCCCTTCCCCCAGGGGAGAGAGATAATGGATAGCCATACTTATCTATAATTGAACAATATTTTTTACTGATCACTGTAATAACAGGTATTTGTTAATATTTTGTACACCTCACACTATAAAGGCACCTTGACAGGCACATTAAGTCATACAAGAAGATTGCGGTTAATTACGAAGACAAGACTGACAACACACATGGAAAACTTAGAGACATTACACGATAAAGGGGAAAAACGTGGCGTGTTCCACATCAGAAGGCTGCAGTATGGTGCTGTTCACCAGTGACTGGCAAATCAAACAGCATGTCGATGTCAAGATAGAGTGTTCTCGTGGCGAACTGTGAGCACAGGAGATAGTGTTGAGGAGAAAACCCTTAGCTGTTACAGTGCTTTTTAATAGTGCATTTTTGCTACTGTGTCATATAGCACAGTTCTCATCAAATTTGAGATTTTTTTTTAAAGAAAATGGAAATAACAGCAGTAAAGATAGAGGAATTATAGTAGAAAGCACAGAAGATAAAATGAGGTAAAAAAAGGAGTCAGATTTCTTAGTGATTACCTGTAAAAAGTTGTAATGGAAGCAATCACCTTGCAAACACTAAATAATGCAACTTAGGTATTTAAAATAGTCTTGCCATTATAGCTATCTATGGAGACTGGGCCATCATATTTAACATTCCAGGGTAGGAAATGACAAAACAATTAGGTTTGAGAAAACAGAATATGCCTCACTCTTTATCTCTCATTGAAGATATTATAGGACTATACCTGGTTGGCCAAATTCTAGAATTTTCACATGATGGGCTGAAAATGCTCACAGTATCCATGAAGCTAAAACCACAGATAGACAAAGAGAGGCAAGTGACACCAAGAATTGGAGGTGGGAGAGTTGTACTCTTCTCTGGGATTCTGGAGCCCAGAAGGGAGGAGAAGCTCCTTGGTGGCTAGCAGATGGATGTCCTGTCCCCACTGTAAATCTGGATGGAGCCACCTTCCACCCACTGTACCGACATGGAGCTTTCTCCTGAAAATAGAAGAGGGCCCATCATGTAGTTGGCACAGGGACAGAGAAGAAACTACTGGCTCTCAAAGTGGGGTCAGGAAGGAAGCTGAGCTGAGACCTAACAGGTCAATCATGGGATCTCTGACAGAATGTGGTGCCCCTGCAGCAGAGGTTGTGGTGTTGGCCTCCCAGGTCAAGAAGTAGATGAAGACATGGCCAAAACTCAGTAGGTTCTCTCTGCCATCTAGAGTCAGACAGCACTGACCAGGCTGAGTCAAGACAGGCTATGGCTTACTGCAGCCATATGGGTGAGTGGTGGTTGGGCCAGCACTGCCATGCCTCGGTGGACAACAAGCATCCACCAGTAACAGCATAAGACCAGTGAGTTCCATTTGTCCAGTGCAACACAGTCACGTGAGACCCTTTTCCTTTTCGTATATTTCATTATCGCAGGGACAGAAGCTGGGAACAGGGGAGGCTGGCTATGAGATACTGAAACAGAGCAGGCCTTTGCTAACGTGCCTTAGAATGCTTCATCAAATGAAGATTTAAACACTAGTAAATGAAAAGTTAAAAGCTTACTGGGAACAGGGGAGGCTGGCTATGAGATACTGAAACAGAGCAGGCCTTTGCTAATGTGCCTTAGAATGCTTCATCAAATGAAGATTTAAACACTAGTAAATGAAAAGTTAAAAGCTTTTTATTCATTTATTTTTGTATTGTTTTGTTTTCCTGCTCTCAGCCTGTGGGTACTTATTCTAGACCAAGCTACAGAGAAAAAGGAAAAAAAGAGAAGGTCCTTTCAATGAGAGTGAAACTTGCCACTCTTGCCACAAACTGAAATGTTTTCTTAATTAAAATGATTTTTATGTGGAATGTGTAAGCATTTCCAACATATTTTTCTCTTCAAAATAAATCAAGTAGAGGGATTTATTTTAAAAAACTAGAAAATGCTCTAAAGGAAAAAAAGAAAAAAAAAGAATGGTGGGTAGAATTGAAAAAAAAATTAAATTAGCTTAAGCCAAAAGTAAATAAATTTTTTTTAGTGAATATTCTTTTTTTCTTTCCTAGCAAAAATTGTAGGCTGAGGCTTGTGGTTGTTTTCACAGTTACAGATTTTTAAAAATTTCACTATTCATCTAAATCCTAAGGTGGTCTGCAATTTAAAAAGGCTGTATATATTAATATGGAATTTGTATGTAAAGGTTGAACTAAATATAACCAACAAAGTCAAGCATCCTTATTTGTTGCATTATCAATCAGGGCTGATCAATTTAACAAATTGTGAAAGGTAAAATAAGCTAATGTTTTCAAATTTTGAGAAAGTATGAGGACAGGACATAAATTGTCCACTCAGTGATTCTTTTTCTATTTGGAAGTCTGCTATTCTTTTTACAGATGGCAGATCATCATCTGGAAATTTTTAATAGGGCATTATCTCCACCTACCACCAAAACAACAAAACAATGAAATCATTTCAGTTTGAAAGGACATTAAATACCTTCTATATCTAAGAATTTGGGGTAGCCTAAAACAATCACCACTAATTTGTTGTCAATAAATCACAGAATAAAAAAAACTGTAAGTAAGCCAAACATCTATGACATACATACTGTGGGGCCTTGGATGTGAGTCACTTGGGTCTCCAATCAAAAGGCTTGCTATAAGAAAAACAGGTGGCTGAGCCTCCAGCTGCCATGTCTTTAGATCCCCTGCAAGGTGGTCAGTGAGGCCGTGTGCTCCCTGGATTGCTCCCTGGCAATGACTAGGCATGGCGGGAGTATTAGAGTAGGACTGTTTCTGCCTGATGCAGAACTCCACTGATGAACAATCTTTGCTCTGGGGCTCTTCAGCAGCTTGGCCAGGACTTTCTCAGA